GGCGTATACAGTCAGGAACAGGCAGCCAAAGCTGTTTTGGCTGACTGGGTGAGGTGAGGAGGGGGCTAGGTGTCAGGGTGAAACCTGCTGAGAGTCATGCTCCACAAAGGGGTGCATCTGTGTTTAGTGATGGGCAGCATGACATCCTGGGTCCTAGGGCAGGGGAAGGCTGAGGCACCAGGTCATGTTCTGATCAGGAATTTATGGCCAGTGGTTATCCAGAAACTCAACTTGTTGTTCTGAAGCTACTGTGGGTTTTCTTGTTGTTCCTCATTGTTTCTGACTTGGGAACTCATCCTCTCTTTGGTCATTTGTTCTCTTAATGACATCACCAATTTCCTCCCACCTCCCAATGCAGTGGGAAGATCAGCTTCTATACACTGCCACCTGCCACCCACACTTTGCCTGCTCATCTCAGTGCTGAGATCATTAAGGAGATGACTGAAGTCTTTGACATTGAGGATACCGAGCAGGCCAATGAAGATACCATGGAATGTAAGTGGGGGCAAGTGGAATGGCCTGCCCAGCACTTTGTCTTGCCCTGGGTGGGAGCCACACAGACCCAACAACAAATCCCATGTTTGATCCCCGCCCCTGCCCTGGCCCTACTCTGGCTTTGAGAAAATTGTTTAACCAACTCTAAGCTTAATGTTTTCTCCCACAAGGTGGAGAGTTCTAATCTGGACCATGGGGGTGGTTGTGGTCTTTTGGTAGATAGGAAAAAAGTCAGCAAAGTACTATGTACACAGTGGGGTGCTCAGGAAATATGAGGGTCCTTTCCCTATCTCTTGGAACCTGGAATGGACTAAGACACTCCTATGCAAAACCCCTTCTCTCTTGTTGCCCTAGGCTTTGCCTCAGCCATTGCATGTCCATTTCTAGATTTTCATTCTTACCCCCATTGGCAGGGAGACATCTGAGTCACAGAAAGGTGATACTTGCTGAATGGTGCCCGGTCAATGGCAGGCAGAGGTGGCATTTAAAGTAGCTATTCTGCCCTGTGGTCTAAGACAGTCCTAGCCCAGTGTAGCTAAGTGGTTAAAAAATGGATTGCCTGGATTCAAATCCAAGTTTTGTTTCTTGCTAGCTGTGTGATGCTGCATAAGTTACTTAATTTTTCCATGTCTCAATGACATCATCTGTAAAATGGGGACAGTGGCACTCACCTGATAAGTTGTTCGTGAAGACTTAATATGTAAAACCACTTGGAGCAGTGCCTGGCTTATAGTACATGCTTGGTGAGTATTAGGTGTTATTAAGATGATCATTTGCTGGGGTTCAGAGGTGTGGCTTTCAGAAATTTCTGTAGGAAGTTTGTTCTTTTCAGATACTACTATTTGCAAACTTGGCTTATGGCTCCTCCCCCCCCCCCCCATCTCTATCTCACCTAGGAAAGGTGCCCAGTGTTCTCTGGACCTGTCTGGGGTAGTGGAAAAAGCCCTAGCTGGCCTGCCTTCTGGTTTCTCTGTTTCTCTTGAGGGCCACTTGCTTTCCTTCTCTGGGCCTTTTAGTGTCCTTGGAGTTTAGATGAGGACAAGGAGACTTGCTTTCTCTAGAGTTTATTCTCCATGTGGCTTTAGGCATGTCCATTCCCTTTCAGAACTTTACTTCCCTCTTCTACCAAGTGGGCAGTTGGGGGAGAATTAGAGCTCACGTTCTTATGATGATGCTTGACCCTGGCTGCATGTGAGGGCAAAAGGGGCTCCATCACTGAGAATGTGCTTTGGCAAAATATTGAGGTCTGGGAAATTGAGGAGAGGGAGAAATTAATGGTGAGAGTTTCCTAGAGGAGTTGGTCCTAGTGTTGTATCTTGAAGAGTGAGTAGGGATTAGAGGAAAGGGATAGGGGCAAAGTTTAGAAGTAGGTGGGATAATGTGGGCCCAGGGCAATGGGTTACATTAATGGTTTTCAGTGGAGACCAACTCCAGGCAAGGGGCCAGAGTGAGGGGGAGAGAGGCCTGGTCCTAGGGAGGGAAACCCAGTGGCTGCCATTTACTGAGCAGTGTCTCAGACCAGTGCATTTCAGGCATCCTCTGCTGTGACAGCAGCCTTATGTCATAGACTTGTGGTATTCTCATTTTCCAGATGAGGAAGGTAAGGCTCCAAGAACAGCTCCCAGCAGGTGAATTTAATCCTCACATGCCTTTAATCCTTTGACATGTGTCCTCCCAGCAGGAATGAAAGAGTCTTCCTTTCCAACTCCCTTGGGCAGTGTCCACATATCCTTTCCACTGAGGCCTGATCAGTGGGGATCAGGGGGCTGGCCACAGGAAGGAGCTAGGGCCCTGACAGTGGTTTTGGTTGTGTTAAAGGCTTGGCCACTGGAGAATCAGATGAACTGTTGGGTGATGTGGACCCGCTTGAAATGGAGATCAAGTGGCTCCATTCTCCGATGATGAAAATAGCAGATGCCATGGAAAATAAAACCACCGTGTATAAGGTACCCGTCCTCTTTATTCATAGCAACCCTCTCCTCTACCCAGGGCTCTGGGAAGTGGTTGGTCCCTTCTGCTTGGCTCGCACAAGGTTTGCCTATAATGGTGGGGAGATGTAGGTCATTCATTCACTTCCTGTGGGCTCCCTGGGTGTCAGGTGGTGTGCATCCTTTGCCAGGCAATGGCAGGTCCAAGGAAGAGGCATATTCTCTCAAGGAGCTTTGCCTGCCTGGCTCCAGCCTAGAGAATAAGTATCCCCATTTGGCCACCCAGTTGTTCAAGTTGAAAACCTGGTTATCCTTGACTCTTCTCTCCAACTAGCATCCAGTGTCCCATACAGTCAGTAAGTCCTATGGCCTCTGTCTCCTAAGTCTCTTGAGAAACTATCAGCTTCTTTTGATCCCTACCCATTCTATAACCCTAGTCTAAGCTTCTAACCTTTTCTCACTTGGACATATGTCCCATGGTTTCTAATGGCCCAGTCTGACCATGTCACCTCCCCTGTTACGGCTCCCCAGCAGCTACATGATCAAGTCAATATGCCATGCTATGACTCCTGGAAGCTCTTTTCAGCTGCTTCTGCTAGTCCTCCTATCTCTGCCCTTTGAGAGGTCGCAGTTTAGTGAGTTTTAGATACAGACATCTGTACTGTTATGGGAGACACACAGTCTGGAGGTGGGGGCAGAGGTTGGGAAAGCATGGATCTGAGGGCTGTAACTATGCTACTTGTGAATCAAGGAAGTCTTGCTGGAGGACTTGATGCTTGCGTCACCTCTGGGAGGCTGAGGAATTCTCTGGGCAAGTGGCAGGGGGTGGGGGGCAGCAGCCGATGGCTAGGAGCTCAGCCAGTGCTTATGCCGAGGCCCAAAAAGGAGATAGTGTGGTGTTTTAGGGAAATCGTTTGTGGTGCAGAGTGGTTGGAATGAGAATGGAGGCAAGGAAAGATGAATCTGGAATCAGATTACAGCAGTCCTTGAGTTTGACTTTAAGCCATGGGTATTAGGAAAACACTGAAAGTTGGTTATTTTTTTCTGTCAAAGCATTTTCCTTTTTTTCTGATTTTATTTAAAATATCTTTTCCTTACATTTATATTTCGGCTAGGTAATATGTGTACACGGCATAAAATTTAAAAGGTACTAAAGGGTATGCAGTGAAAAGTTTCTCTGGCATCTGTCTCCCAGCCACCTTGTCCCCTCCTTGGTGACAGACTTGAATGTCCTTTCATAGCTATTCCATCTTTATGCACACACATATATATGTGTAAGGAGATACAGAGATCTGTTTGAGTTCAAATAATAGCATAGTATTTATATTATTCCATATTTTGCTTATGTCACTTACAAAATCATCTTGTATTGTTTCACATGTTTACTTAAAGAGCTGTCCTTTCTTTTTGATGGCTACATACCATCTGGAAGGGTTTCTTAAGCAAAGAAGTGGCGTGGTTAGGTTTGTGTACTATAGGTATCACTCTGGTGGCCAGAGTAAAAATCAGGTTAGAAAGAAAGGGAGCAGGGTGGAGGCAGGGGTTCAAGGAAGGAAACTGTCATCTGTATTCTATAAGAGATGATGAGGCCTGCACTGAGGTAGTGGCAGGAATCACGCCATTCTCATCCTCACACAATTTTAAACATTCCCCTGGTGCTTACAGGAAAACCAGTGTAAAGTTGTGTGTTTAAGGCCATCCTCTGGTAATACTTCTTAATGAGCCCATAAGCCCCAGGACATACCATTTTTCCTCAGGGACCTATAGTAGTTCCCCACTCTATGCTACAGGTTTCAGACTCAGGTTCAGGGAACCTGAGTAGGACCACTTCATTATACAACTCTGGGAGATACCATTTAGATGTGCTATATTGTGAATGGTGCCCCCGGCTGCAACCCCAGAATTGTGTAGTTTGGTAGTCTTGCCTTTTCTCCACTATAGGGAGGTGAGTAGTCATACATACATATAAGCATGACTGCTAGGGTTCGTATTTATTCCACTATTTACTAGTTGTGTGACCTTAGGTGCCTTGTTTGTCATAGCATTGTTACAAGGATTAAATGAGTTAATACGTATATGTGTGTGTGTATATATATACACACATGAAAAGATGTTCAATATCACTCATCATAGGGAAATACAAATAAAAACCATAATGAGATATCACCTCACATCTGGCAGAGTGGCTAAAATTAACTCAGGGAACAACAGATGTTGGCGAGGATGTGGAAAAAGGGGGAACCCTTTTGCACTACTGGTGCGAATGCAAACTGGTGCAGCCACTCTGGAAAACAGTATGGAGATTCCTCAAAAAATTAAAAATAGAACTACCCTATGACCCAGCAACTGCACTGCTAGGTATTTATCCAAAGGATACAAAAATGCTGATTTGAAGGGACACATGTACCCTAATGTTTATAGCAGCACTATTGACAATAGCCAAATTATGGAAAGAACCCAAATTTTCATCAACCGATGAATAGATAAAGCCGATACAATGGAGTACTACTTGGCAAAGGAAAAGAATGAAATCTTGCCATTTGCAACAACATGGATGGAACTAGAGGGTATTATGTTAAGCAAAATAAGTCAATCAGAGAAAGACAAATATGATTTCAGTCATGTGGAATTTAAGAAACAACAGGTGAACATAGGGAAAGAGAAGAAAAAATAAGATAAAAACAGAGGGAGGCAAACCACAGGTGACTCAAATACAGAGAACAAACTGAGGATTGCTGGAAGGGAGGTGGGTGGGGGATGGGTTAAAGGGGTGATGGGCATTAAAGAGGGCACTTGTTGAGATGAGCACTGGGTGTCATATATATGAACCGCTGGATTCTACTCCTTAAACCACGACTACACTGTATGTTAATTAACTTGAGTTAAAAAAAAAAAAAGGAATCATCATAATACCAATTGTCATTAATCAAGTAACTCATTTTTTAAATTTTATTCTTGTAAAAGCCATGCAAGCTACCCATTGTCTATCCCATTTGACAGATGATCAAACTGCAGCTGAGAGATTAACTGAAGCACCTTCTAGTTTGTGATAGAGCCAGACTTGGAGCTTAGTTCTACCTGTTCTTTTTTAAGTTTATGTATTTTGAGAGAGAGAACACAAGCAGGGAGGAACAGAGAGAGAGGGAGAGAGAGAATCCTAAGCAGGCTCTGCACTCTCAGTGCAGAACCCAACATGGGGCCCAAACTCACAAACCGTGAGATCTTGACCTGAACCGAAATCAAGAGTCAGATGTTTAACCCTCTGAGCCACCCAGGTACCCCAGGATTCCTATTCTTAAGCAAATCTGTCCCTGCCTCCTCTGTAGAAGTCTTTGGAGGACCCAGACCTTACTGTTGTCCCTCTCTCTCTCCAGATTGGAGATCTTACTGGGTATTGCACCAATCCAAACCGTCATCAGATGGGGTGGGCTAAACGCAATGTGGACCAACGCCCCAGGAATAATAGCACTGTGGACATCTGCCCTGTGGACCGCCGTCCAATGCTGCAGAGGATCATGGAGACAGACCCCCTGCAGCAGGGCCAGGCTCTGGCATTTGCCCTGAAGAATAAGAAGAAGATGCAGAAGCGTACTGGTAGGGGCACCTGACCATACCCCTCTTACCCATGCTCCAAAAATGCCCACTTAGGCCTTGATTAGGGGCTCTTGAGCGAACATTTACATGTGTCCAGCGCAAGGCTAACCCTGGTTAGGGCGCATAGGTTTGGAGGCTCACCTATTAGCACAGTGGTTGTCAAACTTTATAGCTTATTATTAGAATCACCTGGAAGGCTTGTTAAAACGCAGATTACTGGAACCCACCCCCAGAGTTTCTGATTGAGTATATTGGCCATAGCACTTGAGAATTTGTGTTGCTAACTGGTTCCTGGTGGATGCTGATGTTGTGCCTCTGGGAACTACACTTGGAGAACCTAGTCTGTGTATCAAATAGCTACCATTTATGTATTAGCTGCTTTCTACGGAATTTACAGATTATATATAATGTTTACTTTATCAGTAGGCAATGTACTCAAAATCTGAAAGGTACAAAAGGATATACAGTGACATGTTTCTCTCCTTCCAATCTCCTAGTCATCTAGGGCTTCTCACAGAGGTGACCAGTTAATTTCTTCTCATTCCTGAGATAGGTACATAGGCAAATAGCTATATATTTTTTATTCTCTTTTTCTATGCAGATGCTAGTCAGCTGATCACACAGTTTTGCCATATCATGTTTCCATTTAATATGTAATGTAAATTCATAAAAGAACTTCCTCCATTTTAATGGTGGTCTGTTGTGTGGTTGGCCAGTTTAGGTCTTCATGCTGTACTAATTTTCACTAACTCATTGCAAGCCTTATCCCGTTTGGTAAGTGAGGAAACAGGCCCAGAGACATTAAATGATATACTCAAGGTAAAACAACTAGGATTTGATGGAGCCAAGATGTAAACCTAGGATTTATTGACCCCATAAGCCCAGTTCTTTGCTCTTGGCCTGGTTTCACACTGAGTCCTGGGAATCCGGAGATGAAATACCCTTGAACTCCTGGTCTTATTATAAGGGAGTGAGGAAGAGATAAGAAAACAGACATTGGTCACAGACAGAGAAAGAAGAGTGGGGAAACCTAACCCAGCCTGGTGAACCTAACCCAGATGGTGGTGGGGTAGGGATGATCAGAGAAGGCTTCCTGGAGGAGGTGTTATCTGAGGGGAATCCTGAAGAACAGGCTGGAGGCTGGAGGATGGGAGGTGAGCATTCAGGCTCAAAGACCCTACTTTATGCTACCCCTTTGCTGTGAGAGCTTTAACGGTAGTAGCAGAGTGCTAAGCTCAACACAGTAAAAGAAAATTGCTGTTTTGATACTAGAAAGGAAAAAAAAAATACCTGGAGCCCAGTGAGTCTGACACTCTGAGATAGACCCTATGTTGGGGTGATCATTTCACAAGTAGATAAATGAGTCTACCTGTGAGCTTGTGCATTGACTGCCAACACCCCCCCCCCGCCCCCACCGCCCAGTTGTTTTGTATAGTGGTGGGGGTAAGTGAGCCAGTTTGGGAGTTTGATGTAGATCAAGATAGATATAGGCCAGCTCTGGCAGGCCCTCCTGCTGGCAAGCCACCCATTAAGTGAATGCTTGTATTTCTCCCTTCTGCAGATAAACTCGCCAGCAAGTTGTCTGATTCCATGATGTCTGTCCTCGACCTCTCTGGCAACGCTGATGACAGTGCTGGTGACTGATCGACTAATCTCACCCCCCTTTCCCCTCCAAGCACCAGTTCCAGTGGGATGATGGAATACAGATGAAATGGTGTGCTTCTCCCTGAAGCACCTGCATATTAAAAGAACTCCTCCCCCACCATGTCCCCTTCTCACTGTTCCCTCCATTTTTCAAGAAAAAAGAGTCCCAAGTTGCCGGAGCTGGCAAACCTAATACTCTTTATTTAACCCCTACTCTGTTTTTCAAGGGAAATAAAATTATCAGCAGATCCCTGATGCTAACAGTTTATCCCCACCTTGTAGGTTAGGATGGTTAGAAGACTGACCCTCACAAAACCCTCTTGAATAGCTAAATGTGCAACTAGAGGTGAGGCTTTTGGTAACCTGGTGGTCCCTAGGAGGGTGATGATTTCTTTTTCAGTCGGCAGCGTATTTCAGTAGCCAGCCATTCCTGTGGTGGGCTGTAGGCTATTCATCTTCCTCCCACCAAGTCTGCAGATCCTCTTCTGTGTGGCAGTGACAGTAGGGGGAGAAGTGATGAGCCTTGTCTGTGGAAGGGTCTGGGGATAGGATAGAGAGAAGAAGAGAACACAAGCCTGGCTGTGAGAAACACTACCTTGTTTACATGAAGGGAAAACAGGATGCTTGTTGGTAGCATGGCTACATGGCGGGGGGGGGGGGGCAAGTCACACATTCGGGCATTTCTAGGCAGATTGGGTTGGAGGAATCCCCTGAAGTGAGACACTCTGGCTGGGCCCAACCCTTGCATGATCATTTCTCATCTGGCACCAGCTTTGAATTCTGATTTCCGTCATTCAAAGGGATCTGGTGCCATTAGCTGCTGTATTAGGGGTTCATTGGTTGAAGTCACTATACCCCATTAAAATATAATTAGCCACCTGCTCTGGGAGAGCCTACCCCATCAGACAAAGATAGTGTCAAGGGGCCCTCAGAAAGGGACTGGAGTAGATGGCAGCAGATAAACAATCTTACTTTACCAGAGTTTGGGCTGTGCACATGACATCTGTCCCAGCAATCTACTGGGAACAGATTTGAAGGGATTGGCTGTTACATCACTTCAGTCTTTGTCCTCTACCCCAAACTTCCACATCATCTTTGGATCCACAGCCACATCTTAGTCTTGCCTCATGCTGTCACTCCCTAATTTGCCTATTCAAATCCTAAGAGCAGAATCACATGATGGACTGGCGAGCCCTTGGCTGCAGGCTGATTGGTGGGGAAGTGCAGACCACTCCTGCATTCTGGGGCAGCCAAAAAAGAGAATTAAGTACTACTTGAGCACACACTGCACCAAACCCTGGAAACCTCTTAACTCCTTTAATCCTCAGTACAGCTCTTCCAGTAAGGGGTTAGTCTCCCCATATGAAAGATAGGCTAAGGAAGTTGTTAGGATGTACCCAAGACATAGTAAGTGCCAGGATTGGAACCCAGATATGATAAAAAACGCATGTAGGTTCTTTCCTCTGCATTGTGCTGCCTCCTTAACACTGATTAAATGCCTACTCATGTGCCAGCTTTAGATACATGCTTTTTTCAGTAAAATAAGAGTCTTACTAAAATTCTACTTCCAAGTCCCTTTGCATGGAGTACAACTTATTTCACAGTATCTTATCAAACTCTCCTGGCAGGTAAATAATGTTACAATGAAAAATTGGATCCCAGGATAGCTAAGGCCATTTTAAAACTTATATGGCATTTCATTGAACTTTGTGACATTTTCTAGAGGTGTCTGGGTGGCTCAGTTGGTTGAGCGTCTGACTCTTGATTTTGGCTCAGGTCGTGATCCCAGGGTCACGGGATTGAGCCGTGTCAGGCTCTGCACTGAGCGTGGAGCCTGCTTGAGATTCTCTCCCTTCTCCTATTCACTCCTCTCTCCCATTCACAGTCTCTTTCTAAAATTAACAAAAAATGAAAATGTTTTCTAGTACTCCTAAGAGATACTGGAAACTAAACACTGGACATACGAGGTATCTCAATGAGTAAGAAGGAGCATGGGAGGAGCACCTGGCTGCCTCAGTTGGTAAAGCATGCGACTTAATCTTGGGGAGGGGAGTTCAAGCCCCATGTTGGGTGCAGAGCTTAATTAAAAAAAAAAAAAAGCATGGGGATGTGATTTGGCCTAAATCAAACAGAAGAACTAAAGTAGTCATGTCGGGATAAGAATTTGGGACTCCAGATTCTCTACAATGTATCACAACCTAAAAAAAAAAAAAACCTCTTTCTTGAGTCATTTCCCTCATGTAAAAAAAATACTAAGATTTGATGTATATACAATAAAGTTCACCCTTTATAGTGTAAGTTATTTCACTTTGGACAAATGTATACAGTAGTGAACTACTAATACAATCATGACATGGAATAGTTCTATCACCCCTGAAACACTAGGGCCTTTTGTAGTTAACCCTTTTATTCCTACCTTCAGATTCTGGGAACCACTGATAATGTTTTCTGTCTGTATAGTTTTGCTTTCATGTGAATGTCATGTGAAAAGAATCCTACAACATGTAGGCTTATTTTATGCCTATAGATTTTTAAAATTGTATTTAAAAAGTTACATAGAATAAAATTCCTCTTGGTGTACATTTCTATAAGCTTTGACAAATGCAGACTTGTGTAAACAACACAATCAAGGTACAGAACAGTTCCATTATTTCCTGCCCTCCACCAACAAAGTCATTCCTGCTGCTTATAGTAAAAACCTCTCTAACCCTAACTCCTGGCAACCTTGATTTGTTTATCCTTATAGTTTTATCCTTTGGAGAATGTCATACAAGTTGAATTATACTATATGTAGCCCTTCTTAAAGTTTAGTTTTGAGAGAGACAGCACGAGTGGGGGAGGGGCAGAGAGTGAGAGAATCTCAAGTAGGCTCCATGCCCTCGGCACAGAGACTGATGCCGGGTCTCAAAACCACGAAGCTGTGAGATCATGACCTGAGCTGAAACCAAGAATCCAATGCTTAACCAACTGTGTCATCCAGGTGCTCCCACAGTATGTAACCTTTTGAGACTGGTTTCTTTCAATAAGCACAATACACCTGAGATTCATCCATGTTGTGGGGTTTATCAGTAGTTCCTTATATCCAAGCCATACTCCATTGTATGGATGTACCACGACTTGTTTATTCCCACGTTGGAGGGACATTGGGTTTCCAGTTTTGGGTGATCACAAATAAAGTTGCCATAAACATTTGTATGCAATTTTTTGTGTTTTCTTGAGAGAATACTTAAGAGCTGGATTACTGGCATATGTGGGATGTATGTGTTTAACATTCTCAGAAACTGCTACGCTGTTTCTCAAAGTAGCTGTACCGTTTTTCATTCCCATTAGTGTGTGAAAGTTTAAGTTTTACATCCTTTCCAGCACTTGGCATTGTCCGTTTTTTGACATTAGTTATTGTAGTAGGATGTAGTGGTATCTCATGATTTTGATTTGCATTTCTTTACTGACTAGTGAGTTGAGAATATTTTCATGTGCTTATTTGTCATCCATATATGTTCTTTGGCAAAGCGATCGAACCTCTTGCATATATATATATATATATATATATATATATATATATATATA